TTCATGCTCAGTTGGACAAAAGGGCGGGAATGCACGCTGGTGCAGTAGCCTTGACGATGCGGAAACCTGCTTGAGCTGGTCCCTGTTAGGTCAAATATGAAGAGCTCAGTGGACAGGGCAGTTATTTATCTAGACCGACTACCAAAGGTCCAAGAACCACCTCCAGGTCTTGTAAGCTGTGTCGAGTAAGATTTTTAGCCGATTTTTTGTCAATTCTGGGAGAGTGGCAGCACTGGGCTCATAGGGCGGACGAAAAAGAACGCGCCCAAACTACCTCAATCGTCTTTCTTCTTGTTGCAACAAGTGCGAACAGTTTCATACGAGATACAGTCTCTGTACTGCAGCCCATGAATGATTCCAGGCAGAGAAAGTCAAGTAGCTCCCGTTGTTTGCGTGCCTTTCACATGCGCACCTCAGCAGTCCTAACCGTACAGTGCGAATGAACAGAAAGGTTGGTAGTGCGCGTGGATCTTTCTGGGGATGCAGATATCATGTCGGGTCAACAGACACTTTCTAGACGGCAACCTCATCCCGGTTGACAGCAAATAATCTCCAAATGTGACTGCAACACCCCGAGTGCGTATACGTCTCTCGCAACCACGCAGTGCTGGGAATCATATGATTACATTTCACGAACAACCGAAATATGCTCGCATGCAGCCAATCACAGGGGTCCACAAATTCGGCTGTCACCCAATTAACAGACCAAGCCGACACTGAATAGTTCTCACGTGAAGCTTATTCACTCACATGCAAATCATTCCAAAGGACAGACGCACGCGCTTGCCCATGGCCGGGCTCCAGACCTCCAAATAAAATTAACTTCTCTTCTTCAAGGGGATTGAGCTATAACTGTTGTGGCATTCTGAGTACACACACACTACTCTTGACGTTTGATGTCATCTCGCGGTTAGAAATGCAGTCCGAAACACTTCCTCCGTCACGGTTCTGATAGATAAACCGACATCAGTCCGCCTTTGCACAGGTGCGAATTCAACACCATCAAGGCTGCGTACGGTCCCTCCGATAATATAATCAGTGACGACGAACCAAATTTCGAACGGCAGACTGAATATCAAATGGCCGAGAGGGATTGTTGTAGACCAAAACATGCACAGTGCTGGCGTGATAAGAGGTCTTGATTATGGCGATTATTTTTGATGATACACCATTTAGCTATATTGTTCGCCACAGGAAGTCATGGTGGACGAACCCTACGAAGCTGACGACCGTAGGTTGCTGGTATCCGTGGCGCGATTCAGGAATGTGCACCAGTGTGAGTATTTGGTCAATTTTTCTACGTCCATCTTCTCACGTGGCCTGGAATGGAAACTGTAAAGGTCATTAGAGCCCTGAGTAAGAAGTGGTTATAAAGTCCCACCTGATGGACACAATACCGTTGGGGTTGGGGTTAGGAGTAAGGGTTACGGGATTATGGCAGGGGCTAGAGTTAGTGGTTAGGGCAACTGTTTCTCAACCATTCAAAGCACAATCGTGCATTCCCAAAAGCTTTTCTTTTGCATAAAACTACTTGATCTCATCGCCTGCGCGTTCCCGGTCCCACCTGTAAAAACCCCCATTACCACCGGTCCCGCATTACAGGCAGCTGGACTTTGTTTAATTCAGGTGGGGCTACATAACCACATCTGACCCAGCCCTGTCTGACCCCGATCTTGATGACAGGCACATGGATGACCGAGCCGTAGTCAATGGAGATGAGCTCATCTTTCAGATCTTGTTCCAATCCCTCAGGATGCAAGGGTATCGCAGATAGGTTATGCTGCGAGTGAGACCCACGACCTTCAGACCCGGTCCCGAATGGAAAGTGAAGGCGGACGCCAGTGGGGAGGATAATAGCTTCTGTACAGAGAGAGTTGGCAGCCGGACGAGGGCACGTCCGGCGCCGTGGGAGCGGCCTTCCAAGTGTGTCAGGAAATGTCTCAAAGCGTCTTGAGCCAGGAAACGTCTGACTCGGCCTTGAATCTGATTGGCCAGTTGGAGAGCCGAGTGCGCACGTGCAGACACTCATGAGAAGCCCAGTGTCGAGACAGGCGTTCGCAGCATGGCCACTACAAGGGGCAGGAGTGTTGTCAGAAAACTTGTAGACTTTAGCAGAAATACCGTTCTCCCTGAGTGACTTGCTGTTGCGCAGTCTCAGTATTGCATCGACTACATCTCTCTAAGAAAGCGGTCATACGGAAATACCCTGGGGTGAGGAGGAATAACACTCCACTTGGACGGATCCTATTTCGTAGACGTCCCTGCAGTAGACAAGCCCCCGCCTAACCCCTGAGAGGCACGGCTACGAAATAGGGCCTTGCCCTCTGCTGAAAAGGAAAAAGAGTGTGTTTGGTTGGCCACCACAGTTGGTATGACTCGTAAACAGAGTTAGTCAGTGCGAAGGACCTACTGCGAGCTTGGCTAATAATTTAACAGAGTTCTCGAGTGTCACTGACGTTTAAGGCCTGTTTATGCTTTATTCTAATGGCTTTTTTGTGGTCATCTATAGCACACTTTGTCTCCGGTAAACCCAGTCGGTGGATCTTCAACTGATCTAGTCACTGAGGCGTCGGTGTATGAATTGGACAATTGGCTCAACTGCCTTGCGGACTGAAGGCCCCACTTGTAGCAATCCGTTGCTGCTGCTGCTGCTGCTGCTGCTGCTGCTGCTGCTGCTGCTGCTGCTGCTGCTGCTGCTGCTGCTGCTGCTGCTGCTGCTGCTGCTGCTGCTGCTGCTGCTGCTGCTGCTGCTGCTGCTGCCCTTACCACCGACTAAGGCTGTAACTTCACATCGCCGTTCTGTGCTCAGCGCCTTAGTCGTGCTGAGTTGCCGTAATATCGTAACACCAAGGGATGAACTTATGTACAGTCGCATACGGCGAGAACACGTGCCGACACAATGTTGCATGCATTTCTTTACGGTGTTAAGAGGAGACTATATGAGGTTCATAAAATTAAGCAGTGGATTTGAGCAGTATTGTTAACTTTACAAGCCACATTCGTAAATGCAGATTCATGACGTTTCATGAACGGCCATTTAACGGTATTAAAAAATCTCACAATTAAAAACTTTTTCAAAACCAAATTATACTCTTCTTTTGAGTATGAACTTGGAAAAAAACGTGATTTTCTACTGTATAGGTAAAAGAATGAGTATTTTTATGCATGTTTTCCATGAAATATAATTGAATTTTCAAGGGCATCGAAAATCAATGAGAAAATTGCATGCTACTTAAGTAGTCATTTTTTGCGCAGTATGGATCTTGCATGCAGCCGAAAATAAGTTCTTTCGAAAGCCGGCAGCCTGAGGTAACTGGATCATTATAGATTTATGCTGTATCATGATTAGTTTTACAACACTACTTAATTTATCTTTTCGAAACGAGAACGCATTTCGAAAGATTGTTTGACATTTCATGAGTTAGCACATCTACTATATGCATTGATACTTCCGGCACCATGCGTCGGCCTTCTACAAATATCCAAGTTGCGAAACCGCAACCTAGCCAAAGGCAGGCAGTCGAACTGGCTATATGACCATCGTTCGGAATATTTTGTGGTGCTGCTGAAGTCAATTGATGATCAGCAAAGTTCAGCATCTTCTCGCCATTGTCGTACCGAGAGCCAGGTGCAAAGTGGTCAATAATGTGGTCGCCTGAAGAGTGTCTGACCCAGTCCAGTCTTCCCAATCTACGAAAATAATCGACGGCTCACTCGACAGGAGCCTTTCCCAATCATCTGTGGCGGTTGCCAGAGGAACATTTTTTCAGCTGTAACTGATGTCAGTGCGTACAGGGCGACGACAGAGCGCCACTTCAGTCATTTCTACGTCATTTGTTCGCCTGTTTCGAGAGAGCGATCGCTGAGCCACGTTCACCGAAAGAGTCGCGTGGGCCGCAGGATGAGGCGGGACCGTCTTCGGTGTCCGGAAACCCGGAGCGTCTAAGTCGCGTATTTAAACTTCGGAGAGACCGGTGTACTGGTAAAAGAGTGCGGTCCGTCAGACCTTGAGTATCGGGGTCTAGGGACGTTCGCAAATTCCTGCTTTCAGTACTAAGACTTCGTTCAGGTTTGAGGAGTCCAGCTCGCTTACTACTCGCCTGCACCAATTCACTAGGGTCTCGAAACGCGCGGCTTCGCGCATACACCGAGGCGTGGGTCATAGTACTACTTGAATTGGACATTTATCGTATATTTTGTGGAGACTTTGAGCAAAGGCCCATTATCAGCGGCCGCCTAGACTGCCTTCTGTACCGCTTTCACTAAACAGGTGGCAGGACCATTTATTTAACGCCATGTTAGAGTGACGACATTGGACTTTGCTGCATTTTATAAAGCAGTCATGTCAGACTTCGGTCGCTCACACTATAGTGGCAGCATCACTTCCTTCTTCAAACCATCCTAATTTCCGCCACAGGGCAGCTAACAGCGAAGCTTCCTACATGTAACTGGTCACATCCTGGTTACTGCCTATCCTTGTATGACCTCTCCGCCAACGGGGCAAAATAGAGACTTGCCCTTCCAAGGAAATGAGCTTAAGCTCCTATACCTTCCGAAGGGTCCCGGAGGTCATAACTTCTAGGCCAAATCCGAAAGGCTTCGATGTAGGTGGACCATATATCTGCTCCTCGCAAGGGGATTTGAAGCAGCTAGTAGCAATATCCAGCAAGACTGACCATTCGACGACTGTCTGAAATTCTCCTCATTGTTGACTTAAGCCTCATGTACACGGCTCAATGAGATTGTACTCTAGGATTCCCATTTATTGCCCTCAACTGCCGAACCAGGAGAGTTGAGCAGGAGAGTCTGAGATAGTGTACCGCATACCCTTAACTCCAAATGTGAGCGATACGTCAAACCTAAATGGAGGACCAAGAAACGCGATTGTAGGCGAGAGCCACCTTGGCGAGTGCCTTGGGGCTGATGTCCAGTCGACCCAACCCTGATTTCCGACGGTATGACGTCCCAAAAGAGGTTAGATAACATGATCCTCCTTTCGATTTGAAGGAAATGATTCCTGACGGGGCTCTGTGGAAAACCACCGGCGGCTAAGATAACAGAATGCGTGGGGCACGCGTAGACGAAGGAATGAATGATCACTCAGCTCGCCTACGCATTTTCAGTCCTTTTGGCCCTACCATCCTGATATAAAAGGCAGGACTGAGGAATGGAGGCGTGAGGGAGATGCTGCTCGAGGCTCCTTTACGATCATTCAAATTGTGCGTCACTTTTAAATCGGGGTAGTAGGGGACATCATTTTGCTCGACAGTGATTCTAGGAGTGTTGTATTCAACGTCCGGATTCGGATTGATTGGGAGTAGCCGGAGGCGGATAAATCCATGCTTCACTGCCTGTCTTCTACGGTCGTAGTGTTGAGTGCGCAGTCGTCTACGAAGAGCAGATCATGTACCGTGATCGTAGATAGCCGCGCCAGGGCGTGCATGCACCTGCTGTTATGAAGATGCGTGTCAGTTTTACAGACGATGCGAACCCCACGGCGCCCATCACGGTAGACTTCCATTAGCGGAGAGAGTACCCAGTGCTGCTCCACTCCATCGGTCACTGTAAATGCCTCGGAGATTGGGCCGTTGTCCGTGACGCGCGCCGTCATCCCGTCGAGAAGCTGATACGTGAATCGCCCAGGACAGCCGGATTTCGGCATGATTTTTCAGAGTCCCTCGCGATTCACAGCGTCGAAGGCTTTCGTCAAGTCCACGAAGGCAGCGTAGAGGCAGGTTTGCAATCTCCTGACACCTCTCCTACAGGCGGTGAGCAGCGAAGACCATGTTTGTGGTCCTAAGGTGTCATCGTAGGCTACACTGGCTTTCCAGCAATAGTTCTTGCTTGAGGTGACTGTTGAGACGATTGAGGAGAAGACGGGCGAATAGCCTCAGTGATGCTCAGTAACAAGATGTCTTTGTGGTTATCGCAGCGATTGCGAGAAATGCAGGAAGCCTGAATGACTCACAAGGTCGAGGAGATTCAGTGATATGCCGACCACAATGAAACGAAAAACTACTTCGTCGCGATCAAAGCGATCTACGGTCCCGCGACGAAAGAAATCTCACCGCTCCTCAACTCTGATGGACCAACACTTCTGACAGAGATGACGCAGATCCTGAAGCGCTCGGCCGAGCACGTCAAGGGTGTCCTTAACCGCTCCTCTGCAATCTCCAACGCACTATCGGCGGTTCACTTGAGTGGAAATCAATATCGACCTGTTATTCTCGTCCTCACTTCCAGAAACAATCCGCTCCATGCAACAACTCTCCAACGGGAAAGCCCCAGGCTCCGACGGGATCATAGCTAAAATCCACAGGCACGGCGGTCACTGATTGATGGATCACCTTACAGAGACCTTCCAGGATATGTGACGACAAGGGAAGGTCCATCAGGACCTCAAGGACGCAACCACCATCCACCTGCATAAGCGCAGGGGAACCGGTAACTCTGTGGTAACCACAGAGGCATCTTGTTACTGAGCGTCGCTGGGAAGATCTTCGCTCGCCTTATCCTCAATCGTCTCAACAGCCACCTCAAGCAAAGGCCAGTGCCGGAAAGCCAGTGTAGCTTTCGATTACACCCTCTTCTGCCTCATGTTGTCCGCCATGCTGATGGAAGCCTATCATGATGGGCGCGCTGGGGTTCACCTCGTCCATAAAACTGACGGGCATCTTCTCAACGGCAGGCGCATGCAGGCCCGAACGCGGGTATCTACAACCACGGCACACGATCTGCTCTTTGAGGACGACTGCGCCTTCAACACTACGACCGGAGAAAACAGGCAACGGAGCATAGATTTCGCCTCCGGCTGCTCTCAGTCAATCCGGATGAAATGGTGGTCTTATATACCGCCCGTCTCCGAAGGTTGAATGCAACTCTCCTCGAATCACTATCGAGCAAAAGGATGTCCCCTACTACCCCGATGTAAAAGTGCCGTACAACTTGAATGATGGTAAAGAAGACTCGAGCAGCATCTTCCTCGCCTCCAACCTATCCTGCCCACGCTGCCACCGCACATTCGCCTCACGCATCGACCTGATTAGTCACTCGCGAGTGTACCGCATGGGCTTCTTTAGTCTCATGCGCCTCCATGAAAACCCGCGGTAAATCACGGTAGACACGACCAGCATCGCCACACATCTCCCGACAAAAACATTAGTCACACATGAACGCCCCTAACGCCCCACGTCGCCCGCACCCACCACGTAGGTAGGGAAGTTTGCCCTTCATCTCCTTCCTCCAAGTGGCTCTGCTGCATCCGAGACCCGAGCAGTCTAATCCATTCTGTGTAGAACCCTGGCAAGTGTAAGGGAGAAGTGGCAAGCGCACGCGGGCCGTTGCAAACTCTTTCAGCCAGTTCTTCCAATTTCAGCATCGGTTGGTTGGCCGGCTCGGACCGGAGACTGGTGCATGTAACGGGGTGGAGTGAGGTCGTCTCCCAGCGCATACTCTCTTGCTATAGACAATCTGACGCGTTTGAGATTGCCATGATGCGCTGGAAGGCGCGGCCTGGAAGGTTGTCAACTGGCGCCTCAGTTCAGACCGCAGCCAGCCCGGTTCCGTTTGTGCTCAGTGGCCGACTGATGGACTGAGTCAGGACATAATGGCTCCACTTTCATGTGGCCTTCATAGCATTCCCACTTCCGGGGTTCCGAGCCAGTGTGGTGGCACGCGATAGGGTGCTGGCCTTCGCCGTGCCAATTACCTGTGCCCTCTCCTGCCCCCGGTCTCCTCGACCCTGTCCAGACTGGGGAGGAGAGAATGCGATAGACGCTGCGCATGTCCGCTTTCGCTATAAACGAATCCACGTGCAAGTCACCGCCTCTGCGCCCGATCTGTTGTGGGGCATACAGTAGACACCGCCGGAGGCGATGGTCGAGCTATCGACGGGAGTTTGGCCACAGACCAGGACAAACGTGTGCCGGAACTACAGCCTCGCCCGCAGGAACCCGACGATGGTCGAAGGACAACCTGTGTCAGACAACTATTGTTCTAATTGTCCAGGGGCGACTTTGTTCGGAGGGTCGCCATACGAGGTACGAAGGCTTGCAGTCCTTGAAGCCTAATCCACAATTACGAAGGCGGTCATTTCCTGCTCAAAGACAGCTGTTCCGGTCTTAGCCCGTTAGAATCAGAAACACGACCAGCCATATGTAGAACGGTAAGATTCGATTAAAAGCGACGCAAGACGGCATTCACCGAGCCGATAGCCCCGAGGCGGCAGCACATCATGTACGCGTCCCTTCTGCATGCACGTCGACAGTAGCCTCGATGGGTGAGAGTACTCCCCCCTACCGGAAGAACGACTAACTCACACAAGCTATCACCTGGGGGAGGGGGGGGTTGACCGAAGCCCGTGCTGAATTATCTACCTTACTAACAACGTACACACTAACCAAGAGCCAGGACATGCCGCCTCCCTGACGTCGCCGGAGCGCGTACCTGGGTTCTTAGCTAGTGCCCCTGTTGTGATGGTAACCAACGACCGCTTGTGCACTGACTGCCTGCGAATGATGCGTGGCCATTCTGCAGCACTTGGTGGATTTCGGCTCAAATACCCATAGACTCTAGAACTGAGTCCGTAAAACTTACTTCCGGAGGACTTACTCTATTTTCCTTTGAAATTAAGTAAGGCAAACTCTGCACTCCGGACTAAGTGCCTTTTTAGAGGCACAGAATTCCCATAACCAAGCATAGGTTACACACACTCCCGGCACCGCTAACAAAACTTTGACAAAAAACTAGTTAAGTTAACGTCAGCTGAAAACAAATCTATGCTGCAGAAGCCGGTGATTTAAGCATCCCACAAAATGCCAAGGAATAAAAAAGACAAGGTCACCTTAGGGAAACAAGGGCCAGCCGAAATCCCATTAGCGGAACGTAGACACCAGATAAAGTGACGCCAGTGAATCTACGTGTTCACAAAGTCATATTGCCGGAGCAATTTTCTGATGTTATTAGTACTTCAGCAGACACAGACAAAAACACATGGTTACGAAGGCCTTGCACAGAATCAATTCCTTTCTCTTTATTTAGATAAATCACTCAAGACCCATAAGAGCCGACTGAGTTTTCCTCCACACCGAGAGGGGGCCGTGTTCAGGGAAATACTGAACATTCACACCGTCAT